ATTATGGTCATAGTTATAACCAGTTAATATCCTTCCACTACAGATTTATATGCCCTCCATGTCATTCTGTTTTGTTATATGTTCTCTAAATGTAAAAACCACCTCAACAACCTCCCCTGGATAATACTCTTAGAAACCGTGTACCTCCCAATCTCCATGGTATGGATTCTTTGCATAATATTCACACCACACATTGCACTCAGACATAGCATCCAATGCCTCCACTCTCTCCTTGTTGCAATATTCACCACCCATGCTTCACACTTATATACGAGCGTTGGCACAACTATATGTTCATACATTCCCTTCTTTTCTGCCATGGATAACGTTCTTTGTCTCCACAGACTCCTCAGTGCACCACTCACCTTTTCATCCTCGTCAATTCTATGATTCACGTCGTCTTTCGTAGACTCATCTGCTGACACTTCCACTCCCAAATATCTGAATACATTCACTTCTTCCATACTCCCTCCTTCCAATTTGATATCCAATATTTCATTACCTATTTTTTTGTTATCCTTATAACCCTGCTCTCTCCTAGGCTCATTTTATTTTCTTCTTTTACATACCCTCCCAGATTCATTCACCAACCTCTGCAACATCTCTTCAGAATCTCCCAAAAGCAAAGTGTCATCAGCAAAACAGCATCTGTGACAACTCCCACTTTGTGTTAGATTCCTTATCTTTCAGTCCCACATCTTTTGCTAACACCTGAGCATTCACTTTTCTTACATCCCCGTCTATAAATATATTAAACAACCATGGTGATATCATGCATCCCTGTCTAAGGTTTACTTTTACTGGGAAATAATATCCGTCTCCTACATACTCTAACCTGAACCTCACTATCCTCGTAAAAATTCTTAGCTGTTTTCTGTAACCTACCCGCTATTCCATACACTTGGAAAATCTGCCACATTGCTCCCTCATCCATCCTATCATATACCTATTCCAAATCCATAAATTCAACGAAAACCTCTTGGCGCTTATCTAGATATTGTTCACCTATAAGCTTCCTGTAAACGCTTGGTCTACACACCCCCTACCCTTCCTGAAGCCTATTTGTTCATCCTGCTCTAGTCTTACTCTTAATTCTTTTAATAATAACTCTACCATTCACCTTACCCGGTATACTAAACAGGCTTATTCCTCTGTAATTCTTGCACTCTATTTTGTACCATTGTGCATGCTCTCTTCTAATCCCTAGGTATCTTCCCGTCGCTCATACATTTATTAAATAAAATACCAACCACTCCAAAACTATATCCCACCTGCTTTTAACATTTCTGGCTTGATTTTCCATCAATCCCAGCTGCTCTACCCCCTTTCGTTGTACCAATAGCCTCATGCACCTCCCCCACACTCACATCTGACTCTTCCTCACTCTTAAAAGATGGTGTACCTCCCTGGCCAGTGCATGAAATCACAGCTTCCTTCTCTTCATAAACATATAACAGTTACTAAACATATTCCCTCCATCTTTCCGTTACCTCCAATTCTCCGTCTAATAAATCTTCTCTTCTCTTTTTAACTGTAAAATCCATTTGTTCCCCTAGGCTTTCTTATTAATCTCACTCCTAAACTTTTTCATATTCTCAGAAAAATTTGTGACAGGATGTCACCCACTCTCTTATTTGCTCGCCTTTTACATTCCTTCACCACTCTATTAACCACTCTTTTTCTCTTCACACACTCCTTCCTCCTTATATCACTTCTATTTTGTAAAAACCTCTCATATGCTAACTTTTTCTATCTTACTCTTGTGTTTACCTCATCATTCCTGAAGCCAAATTACATTACACTGAGGAGATGCAGTCTTTCCTCTCTAAGTACCAGACGAGATGGTCATTTAACTTGTAGACTCAACTCGTCAGAGAGATCGGGGTGAAGTTCGTAGTTTCCCTGGAGTCCCGGTCTGACTTTAGGATAGACAGAACAAAAGACTACTGCCAGATATTGGGGAAGAGCCCCCAGTTAATTTAAAGGAGGAGGGAGCTTACGTAACATGTCATTTTGGACATCCATCTTCATACTTCCACTATCCCGGAGCTCTGGAGGGTGACGACAACAAGGCAAAAGCCAATTCCCCCATCCCTAAGAACAGATCATGAGGCTTCCCAGTGTCCTCCACAATGGGCAAATAGATCATCTCCTGAAACCTTTTGGTTTGAACCCAGGATTTTAGCCCCTGACGCATGAGACAGAGAAACCCTGAGCAAAGGTGTTGGCATGATGTTGTACAAGAATGGTATGCAATACCGACAAGATGATGTTCAGACACATGTGCAACATCTGGGTATCTTTTTTGTAGACGTTTCGCCATCCAGTGGCTTTATCAATACAAATTCTAGGATATAATTTGAAGACAGTAGAACTATATACAGAAGATGGTAATCAGTCCCTCAGCCTTGGAGTTGGTGTGGAGAGCACAGTGGTCGTGGAGATTCTGGAGCATAGGCAAGGAGGCCGGCGCTTATATACTAACGCCAGGTGGAAAGGAACGTGTAGCAGATGAGGGCATAGTCACTGGTAGGCGGGATTCCTCAGTGGAAGTAGGTCATACCCAAAGAGATGGGTTAGTTGTAGTAATAGGTTATGTACATGTCCTCAGAATCAAGAGTCCATGATGTTGCAGTGTCTGACAAGTTGTACAAGAATGACATGCAATACCGTCAAGATGATATTTAGACACATGTGAAACATCTGGGTATCTTTATTGTAGACGTTTCGCCATCCAGTGACTTCATCGATACAAATTCTACGACATAATTTGAAGACGGCACGATGTTAAAAGCTGCACAGTCTACTGTGGGAGTACTTCCCAGACATCTTTCATATCTTAGTCAATATCTGTCTGGGGAGTGTTGGAGTTAATCCTCTCCACGTATCGGATCCAAGATGTACGCCGAGCGTTTCTGAATTTAATGGTCACACTGACATATGAACCTGACAATAGCCTAAGGCCACGACAGACTAGTGCTTCTAAGAGTCCTTGTTCAACCAAGGGACTGGCAGACGGGATCTCAAGCGTCATGACAACACAGATGAAGTGGTCCCAAGTCCCATGTACATTACGAAAATTTGGAAGGACATACAAACAATCACCGACGAAAAGCATACTTGAAGAGAAGATCCCCCTGACTCCAGAAGGAGAGTGAAATGATTAGTATGACGTAAATTCTGAAGAATAGACCACCGGAAGTAATATACACAAAACTAAAACAGAGTTATGCCCGAGAAAGCATTAATATGATCATGATAGTTCGCTGCCCGTAGATTAGAATGCTAATATTCAAAAGATTCAGCATGAAACTAAAAAGAATACCTGTTCTGGACGGCACAGAGCAACCTGCATCCTGCATTGGGTGGAGGGAACTGAATCACTCAGGAAGAGGAATGTATATGATAGCTCACAGAACAGGTCAGCAAGAGTATAAGCTGTCTTCAGTCCCATTTGTAGAAGTTACGATGAACAAATACTCTATGAGATTCCCAGGAACCTCACATGAATCACCACAGCCTGTAATGAAGAGCTCAAACGGATAGCAACTAAGAGTAACACACACACTTGCGCGCTCCCTTGGCAACTTGCCAGGAGGGGCTTCAGAGGCATGCAAAGCAAGCGTAGAACCAAGCGACAGTTTCGTTGCCCTAGCTAAGTCTTCCCAAACACAGATCTGATAGGCCATAACCTCGAAAGAAGAAATTTGGGCTAAATGATCCGTCATCACTACATCAAGCCAAAAGAGGTAATGAACATATACTTGGAGTATACCTGGAGAGGGTTTCGGGGGTCAACGCCCCCGCGGCCAGGTCTGTGGCCAGATCTCATGGTGGATCAGGGCCTGATCAACCAGGCTGTTACTATTGGCCGCACGCAACCCGAAGTACGAACCACAGCCCGGCTGATCATGTACTGACTTTAGGTGCTTGTCCAGCGTCTTCTTGAAGACAGCCAGGGGTCGGGCTGTCTTCAAGTTGAACAGTCTTGGGCCCCTGCCACTTATTGTGTTGCCTCTTAACGTGCTAGTGGTACCTCTGCTTTTCATTGGGAGGATGTTGCATCTTCTGCCGAGTTTTTTTCTTTCACAGGGAGTGATTTTCGTGTGCAAGGTTGGTACTAGTCCCTCTAGGATCTTCCAAGTGTATATAATCATGTATCTCTCTCACCTGCGTTCTAGGGAGTACAGGTTGAGGAACTTCAAGCGTTCCCAGTAATTGAGGTGTTTTGTCCCAGTTATGTGGGAAGGCTGCCAACTGATTTTTTGTGTCCTGGCACTGGGAAGCAGATTTTGCCTGCAAAGTGTCGGAATCGTCTTAAAGTCCATCTTGTCCTCAGAGGAAATGGGCACTGTAGAGGTATGGGAACCAGACCCACCCTTGAGCGAGTGTCAGACTTCCTCTGGAAGGGAGAGCGTTTGTCTTTCCTTTACGAAGTGGAGCATCAGGTACACTGTTCCTTCTAGAGAGAGAGGACCGGTATTCCCAGGACTTTTGAGAAGGCTTTGGTTTATATCCATCCTTAGAGAGGGAAGACAACACAGGCAGCTTCAGCTGGCGGTAGAGGTTCTGCAATTCTGAATGTCCTTTATTTCCTTCGTGTTTTGCTTCTTTTCTTTCCATTGCTGGAGGACACAGTGCAACTTTGGTTGCGACGCCTAGAGACCTCCAGATTACTACACCACTGACCACGAGCCATTAACTATTGATGGGACAAACGAAGTTGGCATCCATGATCAGGCGCCCCAGAGAAGCTCTTCTTAGCAGCAGGAGTTAGTGGCAATCAAGAATACAGAGAACCTAAAGTTCAGCAGCACATTGCCATATTGAAGATGACTGTCACGTGATACTTACCTGAGAGCAATGTATAGACGAGCACAACAACAGGCATACTAGCTCATGCTGTCACGTCCTACTCAACTCCTACTAATCTCACTACATCTGTACCGCAACTACTGCTACTAATCATTCTCGCTGCTTCTCACATGACTCCCGCCACTATGTATGCGTCTTTCTTAGATATCTCTATTCTAGGACTGAACAAGTCACTCAGTGTGAAACATTTCGTGAGTCATGATGGAGGCTTTGAGGGGACTTGAGCTAGAGCACGCCACAGCTATGCAGGTGTGGGAAGTATCTGTAAAAACCTGTATTTGTGGTGACAGTGAGAGCCATGTTAACATTCCTATGGTGTATACAAACATACCTAGTTGGGTGAATCTTGTTAGGCCGACAAGGACCAGGAAGTTTTGTAACTAGTTAGCCATGAGTTCGAGCAACACCAGTTCTGTGATACATGTCTTTTGCCAAATCTTATAGTTATCAATAATTCATTCATTCATTCGTTCATTCATTCATTCAGTTACTCTCAGACACACTCATTCACTCTCATATACTATAAATATGTGTGTGTGTGTGTGTGTGTGTGTACTCACCTAATTCACCTAACTGTACTCACCTAATTGTGGTTGCAGGGGTCGATACTCAGCTGCTGGCCCCGCCTCTTCACTGACCGCAACTGGGTCTTCCCTCTCCCTGCTCCATGAGCTTCATCATACCTCGTCGTAAAACTATGTATAGTTCCTGCCTCCACTACATCGCTTGCTAGACTATTCCACTTCCTGACAACTCTGTGGCTGAAGAAATACTTCCTAACATCCCTTTGACTCGTCTGAGTCTTCAGTTTCCAATTGTGACCCTTTGTTTCTGTGTCCCATCTCTGGAACATCCTGTCTCTGTCCACCTTGTCTATTCCACGCAGCATTTTGTATGTCGTTATCATGTCTCCCCTGACCTTCCTGTCCTCCAGTGTCGTCAGGTCAATTTCCCGTAACCTTTTTTCATAGGACATTCCCCTTAGGTCTGGAACCAGCCTTGTTGCAAACCTTTGCACTTTCTCTAATTTCTTGACGTGTTTGACTGGGTGTGGGTTCCAGACCGGTGCTGCGTACTCCAGTATGGGCCTGACGTACACAGTGTATAAAGTCTTGAACGATTCCCCACTGAGGTACCGGAACGCTACTCTCAGGTTTGTCAAGTGCCCATATGCCGCAGCAGTTATCTGGTTAATGTGTACTTCTGGCGACGTGCTCGGTATTATACTCACCCCTAAATCTTTCTCCTTGAGTGAGTTTTGCAGTGTTTGGCCGCCTTGCCTATGCTCTGGCTGCGGTCTTCTTTACCCTTCTCCAATCTTCATGACTTTGCATTTGGCGGGGTTCAGTTTTAGGAGCCAGTTGCTGGACCACGAGTCCAGCCTGTCCAAGTCTCTTTGTAGACCTGTCTGGTCCGCATCTGATTTAATTCTCCTCATTAACTTCACATCATCTGCAAACAAGGACACTTATGAGTCTATCCCTTCCGTCATGTCGTTCACGTATACCAAGAATAGCACTGGTCCCAGGACTGACCCCTGTGTGTGTGTGTGTGTGTGTGTGTGTGTGTGTGTGTGTTTTTATGTGCGTATTCAGAAACTATGAAGTTAAGTCTTAGTAAACAATAAAGTCAACCTTCAGCTAAGTATCATCATGAATTAAGTGGTTCTCTTCATTTCCCTAAAATTAATTTTAACTCAGGTTCACTCTCTTCCCTTCCTTTTTTCCCAGCTGGTGAGGGCGCTGCAGGAGCTAAGATACGTGTGGGTTGTCGGTGAGAATGTGCAGGAGGGTGCCGAGCTGGCCTCCTGTCGTAGCACCTTCAGGAAATATACCGCAAACCTGCAGCTCGTCACTGACTGGTAATATTTCACTGCGAGTGTGTTATGTTAAGCACTGTGTTAACATCACTACTATTACCGTAGTAATTAACCAAGTGAATCATAACTATTATTGCCTCGACTTTCATAAATTGTTCTTACAACCAATTTTCATTCTTACTTTACTATGATGTAAAAGATCTTCTGATGGATTACTGATTACACAATAACGAAATATAACCAACAAGGTGACCAGTAATTCCAGTAATATATACATACATACATACATGCATATATATATGTATATATATATATATATATATATATATATATATATATATATATATATATATAATATATATATATATATATATATATATATATATATATGTCGTGCCGAATAGGCAGAATTTGCGATCTTGGCTTAAATAGCAACGCTCATCTTGCCATATAAGACAAGTGAAAATTTGTGTATGCAATAATTTCGCCAACATCATTCTGAACTTAACGAAAAAAATATATTTCACTGTGTTTGTTTAGTATTAAATTATTGTAAACAAATCTAAAATATATTTAGTTGGGTTAGGCTAAAATAAGTTGAGCTTGTTATAATAAGGTTAGGTAAGTTTTCTAAGTTCCTTTTGGTGCAAAATTATAAATTTTTACATCAACATTAATGAAAAAATTATATCTTTAAACGTATAAGAGAAAAATTTAGAAAGGACTTAATTTTAAATGAGTTCTTGCTAATTGACCAGTTTTACATATTCGGCACGACATATATATATATATATATATATATATATATATATTATATATATATATATATATATATATATATATATATATATATATATATATATATATATATATATATATATATATATCCCATGCGAAAATGGAACAGAAGTCTTCCTCCGTAAGCCATACGTGTCGTAAGAGGCGATTAAAATGCCGGGAGCAAGGGGCTAGTAACCCCTTCTCCTGTATATATTACTAAATGTAGAAGGAGAAACTTTCCTTTTTTCTTTTGGGCCACCCTGCCTCGGTGGGATACGGCCTCATGGTAGGTGGAAACTCATGACACCTTAATCCACTGGACCATACAATTCTTTAAGAGTAGCGCATCCAGCGGAACTGGATGTTGTACTCACTACCAAAGGACATACGATGGTGTGGATGACTCTAGGCTAATTTCATTCTAGTTCCAGTCGCAGTGTTGTTATTGAACAATACCACTCGTTCGTGGGCACAATAATATAAAATACTGCTCGTTGTACTAGTACACCAAACAGGGGCCAATTCTACAGACACCACCAACACACTGTTGAGGAAAATTCTTTATCAGGATGCTTCTAACACTCCGTGAATTCTCAATAATTACTTATATATTAAAACTTTTTTTAAGGCATTCCGCAGGACAAGTAAATTCTTATTGTATGGGAGAAACGTCACATTCTTGGTCTGAGGTGTTATATTTTTCTAGCTGCCAGAAACGCAGATTCCACAAACACCATAGGATACCGCAGTTTCATTGCGATGTAAAATATTTTCCTAATTTCTTCGTAGAGGAACTCCGGACTGCACACTACATAAGCTCTCAGAAACATAGTAAGAAATACACTAGTTTTAACTCTAGTCTCATTGTTGGAGTAGTAGTGAATGTATGAGCACACATTTGTGGCCTTCCTATATACTGTAAACTTAAACTTTCTATCAACTCGGTGTATCAACACATCTAAGAATGGAAGTTTAGAGTCCACTTCTTTCTCCACGGTGAATTTAATAGGTAGGAACAAGACGTTAAGTCTTGGTAAAAATGTATTCAAGGCCACATCATTTGGCCAAAGACACATGATGTCATGTATATATCTGAACCTTTAACTCTACAGGGTAGGATATGTTTCAACAGTCTAGCCTCGCAACGGATTACCCATAAACATTCTCTGCCTTTGACCATAATATTTCCCCTCATACTCAAACTTGCAGTCAACTACACACAACTTAATCAGTTTAATAATGGTATTTTTTATCAGAAGGGAAGAACTAATTCGTTTTCCAAATAAGATTGTAACGAACAACGAAGTGACAACGAAACTTACTGGTGTACAATCACTAAACATGTTGATATTTTGCAATTTTTCACTGAAATTAACAATGTTTTTTATGTGGGCTTCAAAAATGTTGCGAAGCAAAGGAGTTAATATTGTATTTTACCAACCAGCTTTCAAGTGAGACCTATTTATTTATTAGTTCCGTAGGCTCGGCATCAATGTTAATCTCAGTGACAAATTGCAAAATGTCAACATGTCTAATGATTTTACACTAGTAAGTTTTGATGTCACTTCGTTGTTCACGAGAGTCCTCGACTTACTATCTTATTTGGAAGAAGAATTAGATGAATTCTTCTTCCCTTCTGATAAAAATACCATTGCAAAGAATGTTTATGCGTAAACTAATCGACTAACAGGTACCTACTTACTGCTAGGTGAACAAGCACAGCACGTGTAAGGAGACAAGCCCAACGTTTCCACCCGTGCCGGGGATTGTACCACGGTAAGTCAGTTTTTGAGGTGAATGCTCTGCCAACCGAAACACGGAAAATTCCCAGAACTCAGAAACATATTGCCACAATCATACGTAATCAGAATTTGATTCTTTATAACGAAACATATGGAAGTTTGATGGCATTTTCTTGATACTTGATATATGTCAGAAGTGAAATATTCTCTGAGTCACCACTACATCATCAACGCTTGTAAGCATCCCCCATCCCCCATTCCCCATCCCCTATCCCCCATCCCCCTCAATGGGGTAAGAGGGGTTTGAGAGGTCACGAAATATGAAATTAGAAGGTATAATAGTGACAGTGGTGAGTGTAATGCCGACCACTGACCACATTTTAATGAGCCAGGAGGAGGCGACAGGCTCACTCTGCACTTTTCTGAGAAAAAAATTCCCCTCCTTCAGCTGCAACTTGCAATATTGCATAGCTCCTGATGACGCAATGAGAAGTGCGAAAGTACTTGAGCTGAAGATTTCCACACCCTGTGGCTTTTCTTGCCTCTTACGACACGTATGGCTTACGGAGGAAGACTTCTGTTCCATTTCCTATATATATAGGTATAGGGGTGCGCAAAGCAACGCATGTTGCTTTACCTGCTTCTCTGTCTTCGTGTTTGGCTTCCAGTGCATTAGTCAAGAAGATAGTTCCCAAACGCTTGAGAGACGTGGTAGGAGCTCAAGACCCCAGGTTTACTGAAGCAGCGATTCGGTGGGACACCCTTACAGACTCCTCCAGTAGACCAGCTCCTCCCAAAGAGCACAAACAGTCCCACTGGGACAAACCGATCATGGAAAAAATCGCCAACACAATGCTCTCCAATGCTTCAGGAAAGGACAAAGCTCCTCTCCTGGCAGTGAAGGCACCACACTCATGAGATTTCCTGTTAGCTGTTTCCAGTTCCTCCCTGGGCACCCGTCTCGACCCACAGGCTATTCGGATTGGTGTTGCTCTTCGCCTAGCCGCCCCCATCCTCACCGAACATAGGTGTATTTGCGGCAGGGCGACAGCTGATCAGTTCGGACTTCATGGTCTCGTGTGTCACACAGCAGAAGGGATATATGCCAGACATGAGGAGGTCAATGACATCATAAAGAGAAGTCTCGCAACAGCCCGTTGCCCCGCTCAACGGGAACCCCATGTACAGAGGTCTGATGGAAGTCAAAAGCGTCCTGATGGAGCCACTATGCTACCCTGGAAGGATGGAAAGCAGATTGCCTGGGACTACACCTGTGCCGCCACATTGGCAGACACATACTTGCCATACTCCGTAGTGGAAGGGGGTGGAGCTGCCAGCCACAGAGAGACCCAGAAGATCCGAAAATATGAAGACCTTTCCCCTTGCAATAACTTCATTCCAATAGGGTTGGAGACCCTAGGAACATGGGGCAAGTGTGCTCTAAAGTTCTTCAAAGAGCTGGGTGAAAAGCTCATCATAGAAACCAAGGACCATAGGGCGACCAGCTTCCTCTTTCAGAGACTCAGTGTTACGATCCAGAGAGGAAATGCCTACAGCATTCTGGGCACGCGACCCACCGCAGGGGAGCTGGACGAAGTATTCGAGATGTAGCTCTGAGTTATCTATGTTGTTATACTTTCTGTTGTATTTTTGTGAATGTTTGGCCAATGTAATTTGTCTTTAAATAAACATAACTTGATATATATATATATATAATATAATATATATATATATATATATATATATATATATATATATATATATATATATTTTTTTTTTTCAACAAGTCGGCCGTCTCCCACCGAGGCAGGGTGACCCAAAAAAGAAAGAAAATCCCCAAAAAGAAAATACTTTCATCATCATTCAACACTTTCACCACACTCACACATTATCACTGCTTTTGCAGAGGTGCTCAGAATACAACAGTTTAGAAGCATATCCCAAACCCCTCCTTTAAAGGGCAGGCATTGTACTTCCCATTTCCAGGAAAAGTCCGACTATAGGGAAAAAAACCCGGGTTTCCCCTGAATCCCTTCACTAAATACCCCCTTCTCATACCCCAAAAGATCGTCGGGTCCCAATATCTTTTCGCCCTCCATTCACTCCAATCAACACGCCCCAGGGGCCCCGCTTGCTGGAAGCCCAACCCCCCCTCGCCCACAAAACCCCTTTTAAACCCCCCTCTTTCCAACCCTTTCGAGGACCCCCCTACCCCTTTTTTCCTTCCCCTATAGATTTATATGCTTTCCATTTCATTCTCCCTTTGACCCATTCTCTTAAATGACCAAACCCCCCAACCCCCCCTCCCCCCTTTCTTTTTTTCCCCCCTCTGACTAATTTTTTTTAAAACTCCACACCTTCCCCTTTAATTTCCACACTCCGAATTTTCTGCATAATTTTTACCCCACCCAAAATTTTGCCCTTAGACAGGACATCTCCACTGCCTCCAACCTCCCCTGGGCGGGCTGCATTTACAAAACCCCAAGTTTTCACTTTTCCATAAAAAAGGTGTTGGAACTTACTATATTTTAAAAATACTTTTCCCTTTTTCCCTCCATAGATAAGGTTTTTTGATTTCCCATTTTACCTCAAGGGCACCACTCCCCTTTTTTTTTCCCCTCACAATTCAATGATTAACCTCATCCTTCAAAAAATCCATCCGCCGACACGTCAACCCCCAAAAGTATCTGAAAAAACATTCACTTCTTCCATACCCCTCCCCCCCAAATTTTTGATATCCAATTTTTCTTTATCAAAAATCATTTGATCCCTCACACCTTATTTTTTTCCTTGTTTCCTTTAAACCCTTTCTACCTTTACACACATTCTCAAACTAAACCACTAACCTTTGAAATTTTTTCTTTAAAAATCCCCCTAAGACGTATCATCAGAAAACAGAAACTGTGTAAATTTCCCCATTTAAATTTGATTCCCCAAAAATTTAATCCCCCCCCCTTTTCCCGAAAACCCCAAAGCTTTACTTTTTTTTACAACCCCACCCATAAATATTTTAAACAACCATGGTGAATTACACACCCCTTGTTTTAAGACCTACTTTTCCCGGGGAAGTAGTCCCCTCTCTTTTACACAAACCCAACCTGGCCTCACTATCCTCATAAAAAACTCTTTACAAAACAATTTTGTAAAATTACCACCTATTCCATAAACTTGCAAAAATCTGCCAAAATTGCCCTTTTCTATTTCCCTCTGTCATATGCCTTTTCCAAAACATAAATGCAACAAAAAATTCCCCACCTTTTTCTAAATACTGTTACAAAAATATGCTTTAATGTAAAAACTTGGGGTCTTTCACTCCCCCAAACCCCCTCCTTTAAGCCTCCCTTTTCTTCCGCAATTCCCACATTCTGTCTTTCCTCTAATTCTTTCAATTATAAAATTTCCGTTTTACTTTTTTCCCGGTATACTCAGTAAAAATATTCCCTATTTAATTTTTTTCAATCTCTTTTTTTCCCCTTTCCCTTTTATATAAAGGGGCTTTTACATGCTTTTTCCCCCCAATCCCTTTTGGACCTTCCCCCCTTTCATACATTTATTAAAAAAAAGTACCAAAACCCTCCAAACTATATCCCCCCCTCTTTTCCCTTTCCCGTTTATGATCCCCTCAGTTTTCCCGCTGCTTTACCCCCTTTTATTCTACGCAATGCCCCACGTACCTCCCCCCACACTTTCATTCTGCTCTTTTTCACTCCTTTAAAAAATGGTTTTTCCTCCCTGGCCAGTGCTGAAATTTCCGCCTCCCTTTCTTCGTTGACATTTAAAAGTTCCTCAAAATATTCTCGCCATCTACCCAATACCTCCCTCTCCCCATCAACTAACTCCCCTACTCTGTTTTTTAACGGACAAATCCATACTTTCCTTAGGTTTTCTTACTTGTTTAACTCACTCCAAAATTTTTTCTTATTTTCATTAAAATTTCTTGACAGTGCCTCTCCCACTCTTTCATCTGCTCTCCTTTTGCACCTCCTCACCATTCTCCTTCACCTTTCTTTTACTCTCCATAAAACTCTGCTCTTCTTTTAACACTTCGCTTTGTAAAAACCTCTCATAAGCTACCTTTTTCTCTTTAATCACACCCTTTACTTCATCATTCCGCCAATCACTCCTCTTTCCCCCTCCTGCCCCCACCCTCCTATAACCACAAACTTCTCCCCCAAATTCTAATACTGCATTTTTAAAACTATTCCAACCCTCTTCAACCCCCCCCACTACTCATCTTTGCACTAGCCCACCTTTCTGCCAATAGTCGCTTATATCTCGCCCGAACTTCCTCCTCCCTTAGTTTATACACTTTCACCTCCCTCTTACTTGTTTTTTGCCACCTTCCTCTTTTCCCATCTACCTCTTACTCTAACTGTAGCTACAACTAAATAATGATCTGATATATCAGTTGCCCCTCTATAAACATGTACATCCTGGAGCCTACCCATCAACCTTTTATCCCCCAAATTTAATAATCTAACAAACTATTTTTCATTACGTGCAACATCATACCTTGTATATTATTTATCCTCTTTTTCATAAAATATGTATTACTTATTACCAAATTTCTTTCTACACATAGCTAAATTTAAAGGCTCGCCATTTACATTTAACCCCTGGCACCCCAAATTTACCTACTACTCCCTCCATAACATTTTACCCCACTTTAGCATTGAAATCCCCAACCACCATTACTCTCACACTTGATTCAAAACTCCCCCACGCATTCACTCAACTTTTCCCCAGAATCTCCTCTTCTCCTCTACATTTCTCTCTTCTCCAGGTGCATACACGCTTACTATAACCCACTTTTCACATCCAATCTTTATTTTACCTCCACATAATCCTTGAATTTAATGCATTTGTATCCCTCTTTTTCCTCCCCATAGCTTTATCCTTCAACATTATTGCTACTCCTTCTTTTAGCTCTAACTCTATTTGAAACCCCGGACCTAATCCCATTTATTCCTCTCCATTGAAACTCTCCCACCCCCTTCAGTTTTGTTTCACTTAAAGCCAGGACATCCTTTCTTCTCATTCATAACATCCACAATCATCTCTTTCTTATCATTTGCACAACATCCACGCACATTCAGACTTCCCACTTGGACAATTTTCTTCTTCTTATTCTTTTTTAGTAATTTTTACAGGAAAAGGGTTACAGCCATTGTTCCCGGCATTTTAGTTGACTTTTACAACGAAATGGCTTACGGAGGAAAGATTCTTATTCCACTTCCCCATGGATATAAAAGGAAAAGTAATAAGACCAAGAACTATTAAGATAAAATCAAAGAAACTCAGATGAGTGTGTATAAATAAACGTGTACATGTATGTTAGTGTACCTAAGTGTAAGTAGAAGGTAGCAAGACGTACCTGTAATCTTGCATATTTAATGAACAGACAAAAGACACCAGCAATCCTACCATCAGTAAAACAATTACAGGCTTTCGTTTTAAAACTCACTTTGGGAGGACGGGAGTACCTCCCTGGGTGGGGTTTCTGTCTACCAACCTACTACCTATATATATATATATATATATAAAATATATAATATATATATATATATAAAATATATATATATATATAAAAATATATATATATAATATATATATATATGCAAAACAACCACTCTGAAAGAAAGAGAAAATTTCCCAAACGCTTCGTGACTACCACATTATCAAGGAACTATGAAAGTAAAGCATCCAAAGGAAGGTATAATAAAGGGGTCTTATCCAACACCTCACTATCAGATCCCACAACGGGTTTTAAAACACCTGACGCGCGCCGGCCCAACTGGGCAGGTCCTTTGCACAACCACCAACAAACTATTCTACCCAAGAAAATTTTTAAAATTATATACCTTCCTTGGATGCTTTACTTTCATAGTTTCCTTGATAATGTGAGTAGTTCCCCGAAAGCACTTTGGGAATTTCTCTATTCTTTCAGAGTGGTTGTTTTGCATATTCTGAAATCACCTGTTTACTGTGATCTTATTGCATATAATAATATATAATATATATATATATATATATATATAATATAAAAAAATATATATATATAAATTTTAATATATATATATATATATATTATACATATATATATATGTATAATGATTTTTTTACTTCAATTCTCAGGTACAATCACATTAGGATAAATACCAACGACGTTGAATTCAGCCTCATCAAGCAGGAAATGGAGGCCATTGATGAGACTATTAAGAAATCTGAGAAGGAACTAACATGGAATTCGGATGGTGAGGATATTAATTTTTTTAAGCTGTCATCTCTAGATAAACGAACCTTCATTATTAAAGCCTTGCAGAGAGATGTCATGCTATTCAGTCGTAAATGTAATTAACTTTTTGTTCCTAGGTTCTAAGGTCTTAACTTGCAAGACACTCACTACGTATGTAACGTTCCAATGAAAAACTACCATGGACGGGTACTGTTAAATTTACGCTTTCTATAATTGCGTCCTACAGGAGTGTGGGAGTACATTGAAATCCTACACGAGTCTGTGAAGGGGCTGGAGAGCCGTGTGCGGAAAGCCCAGGTTAACTTAAATCGTCTGGATGTCATCCTGGGCACTTGGGTCCAGAAGCCGATCTTCGAGAGACGCGACGGCAAAAAAGAGACGCTACTTAACCTGGAAGACAAGACTGAGAGACTTAAAAAAGTGTAAGATTATAATATGTGAATATAAGAACATTTTTCTTTGTAAATATCTAAAAATATACATTTTTTTTATCATTCCTGTTCTCTTTCAGTAAGCTCGGTTTGATTTGTTCTATAAATCAATTTAAGCAATAATATTTAAGATTTTTGAGGGTTTGGTAGATAAGAAGCGAACCAATATTTTGACTTAATGATAAAGATTTATTCATGAATATAAAAAGGACATACTTTTTTGTTATTACAATGATTATTCTGTAACACCTCAGCGCCGGTAACAAAAGTTCTCTTAAAAATATGAAACAACGACACCATTGATTTTCATTTTATCATCTTAAACCATAATAAATCATAAATACATTGTAGACAGTAACCAGTAAACTTCAGTTTACTGGTAAAACACAAATTAATCATCGCTAGGCCTAAGTACTTTGCTAGTAATAACTTTATATTAACCTTTTTCTAATTTTATGTTAAATTAGTCAAGCGAATTACAAAAGTCTTCCATATTTAAACAATACAATCTGATGCATGGACGTCAAATTTTTAGTTGAGACTTTTGTACTCAGGTTAATTTTCATTATATTTTATCTAGATATAAATTCCATTAGAAGTATAACCTAGATCACGTTTCATTTAGATCTTTATTAGTTGTCATGTATGTGCATATAGAGTTCAAATTAATTAGTTTAACTATGTTAATTAACCTTTATTAATGTGTATATTTATCATCATGAGACTAGAGCTAGCCTGTCTCTTAACTCTGTTTATAATTTGTGATTACAAAATAATCACTACATAGGAAGCCAATACAAATGTGACAGCTAAATAAGTGAACATTACCCCAGTGACTGTGGACTTGTGAACGCTGCGCTAGGAAAAATAATACACTAATAACCCATACACTAGTTTCCAGTAAATTTCTGCTCATTTCACTGGCAGATGTTGCAAGTGTATGGTGTAGGAGGTAGGTTACTGAAAGCAGTGAAGAGTTTTTACGAGGATAGTGAAACTCAAGTTAGAGTATGTAGGAAAGAGGGAAATTATTTCCCAGTAAAAGTAGGCCTTAGACAAGGATGTGTGATGTCACCGTGGTTGTTTAATATATTTATAGATGGGGTTGTAAGAGAAGTAAATGCGAGGGTCTTGGCAAGAGGCGTGGAGTTAAAAGATAAAGAATCACACATACAGTGGGAGTTGTCACAGTTGCTCTTTGCTGATGACACTGTGCTCTTGGGAGATTCTGAAGAGAAGTTGCAGAGATTGGTGGATGAATTTGGTAGGGTTGTGCAAAAGAAGAAAATTAAAGGTGAATACAGGAAAGAGTAAGGTTATGAGGATAACAAAAAGATTAGGTGATGAAAGATTGATATCAGATTGGAGGGAGAGAGTATGGAGGAGGTAAATGTATTCAGATATTTGGGAGTGGACGTGTCAGCGGATGGGTCTATGAAAGATGAGGTGAATCATAGAATTGATGAGGGGAAAAGAGTGAGTGGTGCACTTAGGAGTCTGTGGAGACAAAGAACTTTGTCCTTGGAGCAAAGAGGGAATGTATGAGAGTATAGTTTTAACCAACGCTCTTATATGGGTGTGAGGCATGGGTTGATGAATGTTGCAGCGAGGAGAAGGCTGGAGGCAGTGGAGATGTCATGTCTGAGGGCAATGTGTGGTGTGAATATAATGCAGAGAATTCGTAGTTTGGAAGTTAGGAGGAGGTGCGGATTACCAAACTGTTGTCCAGAGGGCTGAGGAAGGTTGTTGAGGTGGTTTCGGACATGTAGAGAGAATGGAGCGAAACAGAATGACTTCAAGAGTGTATCAGTCTGTAGTGGAAGGAAGGCGGGGTAGGGGTCGGCCTAGGAAAGGTTGGAGAGAGGGGGTAAAGGAGGTTTTGTGTGCGAGGGCTTGGACTTCCAGCAGGCATGCGTGAGCGTGTTTGATAGGAGTGAATGGAGACAAATGGTTTTTAATACTTGACGTGCTGTTGGAGTGTGAGCAAAGTAACATTTATGAAGGGGTTCAGGGAAACCGGCAGGCCGGACTTGAGTCCTGGAGATGGGAAGTACAGTGCCTGCACTCTGAAGGAGGGGTGTTAATGTTGCAGTTTAAAAACTGTAGTGTAAAGCACCCTTCTGGCAAGACAGTGATGGAGTGAATGATGGTGAAAGTTTTTCTTTTTCGGGCCACCCTGCCTTGGTGGGAATCGGCCAGTGTGATAATAAAATAAATAAATTCACTAGTGACGTCTAGACGTCTATTTACTTGTCTAGTAACCACTAACCTAGAGACTACTGCAGTAACCACTTCACTCTGTCTCAGGTACAGCAACATGCAACAAGACGGAGCCAAAATCTTAGCCATGGTGGAGGAGAATAAGGCGCTGCTGAAGGTGCCTGACGACTCCCCACACTGGGACCGCTACCTTCTCTTCCTTGACCACATGATAACAAGAGGCCTCGTGGAAGCTGCGAGTTGCAGGTGCGCTAACACTGCTAACCCCAACAATTTTAAACAACTTTCCTGCAAACTACAAGTAATTTTCTACTAGATGCAAACCTTCTGACGTTCATGCATAAACCTTAGGAGCAGGCACAAACAACCCTCCTCCAGCCGCAAACAACAACTGACAGCAACAAACATCCCTCCTCCAGCTACAAAAAACAATTAACAACGAACATCCCACCTCCAGCCACAAACAACTGACAGCAACATCCCTTCTCCAGCCACAGGCAATAATCGACAGCAACAAACATCTCTCCTCCAGCCACAAACAATTGACAGCAGCATTCCACCTCCAGCCACAAACAACAATTAACAGCAACAAGCACTGCTCCTGGCACAAGCAACCCAACTCCAGCTGCAAAAAAAAAAAAAATATTCACCAGTAACAAAGAACCCAGATTGTAGATGAATGGTTCAGAGAACCGACATGTTGATAAATTAGACACATGTGCAACTCTTGGGTATCTTTATTGAGGAAACGTTTCGCCACACAGTGGCTTCATCAGTCCATACAAAGGAGAATCTTGAAGAACAGGAGGAGAATGAGGTAATCAGTCCCTCAACCTTGAGTCGATGTGGTCAGTCCATCAATCTTGAATAGATTCAAGATTGATGGACTGACCACATCGACTCAAGGTTGAGGGACTGATTACCTCATTCTCCTCCTGTTCTTCAAGATTCTCCTTTGTATGGACTGATGAAGTCACTGTGTGGCGAAACGTTTCCTCAATAAAGATACCCAAGAGTTGCACATGTGTCTAATTTATCAACATGTCGGTTCTCTGAACCATTCATCTACAAAGAACCCATTGCCATGCGCAAACAACCCTCCGGCATCCACAGACAGCCTTTCATGAGACACAAACAAATAATCATCCACCATCTTCGAACAACTCCACAACATTCATAAACATCCTTCTATTAGGAAAATGGTCCTCTAGCAGGTACACGCAACCCTCCAGCAGACATAGATAGCCCTCCAAAAGGTACAAACAACTCTTCACTATCCACAAATAGCCATCATCATACTCACTAACCCATTAGCATGAACAAATAATCCTTCAGAAGGAACAAAAATCTCTTCACTAGGCACAAGTAATTCTGCAGGTATGCATAAACAGCCTCCAACAGCAACAACATTCCTTCCCTGGCTATAATCATCCCTCTGATAGACATCAGGTACAAAGAATCCTCACCTTTTAGAATCCCTTCAGCAGACTCAAACGATTCTTCATAAGGAAGAAACCCTCTCCAGTATCCAATAGCATCACTCAGGCAGGAAGAAACCCTCTCCAGTATCCAATAGCATCACTCAGGCAGGAAGAAACACTCTCCAGTATCCAATAGCATCACTCAGGCAGGAAGAAACAACTCTTTAGCAGATGCAAGCAGCAGTCCAACAAGCATAAACATCTTCCAACAGGTGATGAATAACAAACATTCGTACCACCTGAGTATATTTTATTATGAAAATGTTTCGCTCTCCAGTGGCTTTAGCAATTCACTGCAGAGGCTATTTTAAGGTGTTGAAACTGGAGACAGTGGAAGACTTAATCAGTTCCTCGGCCTAGACGGAGGTGTTCACCACCACATAGGCAGGTAGTTGCTCAATTACATAGGAGTGAGACTAAAGTGCAACAACAGAACATAGTCACCGTGGGTGGACCCACTAGTGAAAGTATGACATTCCCAAGAATAGGGCCAGAAGTTAGCAATCAATTTGAAGACGGTATCTTCAGTACTAAAATTGCATGGTGTTAATGTGTCAGACAGGTAGAATAGCAGTAATGGTAAACAATAATGACAAGATGAATAATGGGTTAAAAAAATGTCTTGTTTGTCATCTTGACGGTATTGTTTACCATTACTGCTACCATACCATGCAAAGCACAGTCAGCTCTAGCAGGAACAAACAGTTGTCTAGCAGGATCAAACAGTTATCTAGCAGGAACAAACAGTTATCTAGCAGGAACAAACAGTTATCTAGCAGGAACAAACAGTTATCTAGCAGAAACAAACAGTTATCTAGCAGGAACAAACAGTTATCTAGCAGGAACAAACAGTTATCTAGCAGGAACAAACAGTTATCTAGCAGGATCAAACAGTTATCTAGCAGGATCAAACAACCTACCAGTAAGCACACACAACTTCCAGCACTTGCAAACGATCCTCCAGAAAACACAAACTCTTCAGCAAGCTAAAACAACACTCCAGCAGGCGCATGCTGGAGGGTTGCTGGAGGTTTGGTGCTGGTGGGTTGCTTGTGCCTGCAATCAGGCACAAGCAACCCACCAGCAGGCACAGGCAACCCTCTAGCAGGCACAGGCAACACTCCAGCAGTTACAAGCAACTCGCCAGCAAGCACAGGTGACCCTACAGCAGACGCAGGCAGAACTCCAGCAGACAGAGACAAAACTCCAGCAGGTACAGGCAACACTCCAGCAGGCACAGGCAACCCTCCAGTAGACACAGGCAACCCTCCAGCAGGCAAAAGCAACACTGCAGCAGACACAGGCAAAACTCCAGCAGGTACAGGCGTTCATTGAATAAGCACAGGCACTTATCCAGCAAGCACAGATAACATTCCAGCAGGTACAGGCAACTTTCCAGCAGGTACAGGCAACCTTTCCAGCAGGTAGAGGCAACTTTCTAGTAGGGAGAGGCAACACTTTCCACCAGGTACAGGCAACTTCCCAGCGTGTACAGGCAACCCTCCAGCAGGCGCAGGCAAAATTTCAGCAGGCACATGCAACCTTCCAGCAGGCACTTGCAACACTCCAGCAGGCACAGGCAACCCTCCACCAGGCACAGGCAACACTCCACCAGGTACAGGCAACTTCCCAGCATGTACAGGCAACCCTCCAGGAGGCACAGGCAACACTCCAGCAGGCACAGGCAACACTTCAGCAGGCACAGCCAACACTCCAACAGGCACAGCAAACGCTTCAGCAATCACAGACAACACTCCAGCAGGCACTGGCAACCACTCATCAGGTACAGGGAACCCTCCAGCAGGCACAGGCAACCCTCCAGCAGGCACAGGTAACTCCTCTATAGGCATAGGCAATCCTCCATCAGGCAGAGGCAACCTTCCAGCAGGCACAGCCAAAACTCCAACAGGCACAGGCAACACTTCAGCAGGCACAGGCAAGCCTCCAGCAGGCACTGGCAACCCCAGCGGGCACAGACAACCCTCCAGCAGGCATAGGCAACCCTCCAGCAGACACAGGGAACCCTCCATCAGGCACAGGCAACCCTCCAGCAGGAATAGGCAATCCTACAGCAGGCACAGGAAACCCTCCAACAGGCACAGGCATCCTCCAGCATACACAGGCAACCCTCCACCAGGCACTGGCAACCTCCTAGCAGGCACAGGTAACCCTCCACCAGGCAGAGGCAACCTTCCAGCAGGCACAGCCAAAACTCCAACAGGCACAGGCAACACTTCAGCAGGCACAGGCAACCCTCCACCAGGCACTGGCAACCTCCTAGCAGGCACAGGTAACCCTCCACCAGGCACAGGCAACCACTCATCAGGTACAGGGAACCCTCCAGCAGGCACAGGCAACCCTCCAGCAGGCACAGGCAACTCCTCAATAGGCATAGGCAATCCTCCATCAGGCAGAGGCAACCCTCCAGCAGGTACAGCCAAAACTCCAACAGGCACAGCAACACTTCAGCAGGCATAGGCAAGCCTCCAGCAGGCACTGGCAACTCCAGCGGGCACAGACAAACCTCCAGCAGGCATAGGCAACCCTCCAGCAGACACAGGGAACCCTCCAGCAGGCACAGGCAACTCTCCAGCAGGCACAGGCAACCCTCCAGCAGGCACAGGCAACCCTCCAGCAGGCACAGGCAACTCCTCAATAGGCATAGGCAATCCTCCATCAGGCAGAGGCAACCCTCCAGCAGGCACATGGAACACTCCAGGAGGCACAGGTAACCCTCCAGCAGGCACAGGCAACCCTTCAGCAGGCAGAGGCAACCTTCCAGCGGGCATATGCAACACTCCAGCAGGCAGAGGCACATGCATCCCATCAGCAGGGACGGTCAACCCACCAGCAGGCACAGACCCTCTTAAGCAGGAACAAAGAACTGTCTACCAGCCACGGACAACTATCCATTAGTCACAAACAACCTAGAGCAGGTAAGAGCATACTTCGAGCAGACACAATCTCTCCCCAGCAGGACTACACAACCCTGTAGCAGGTACAGTTATCTACCATCCATAACCCATCCACTAGCAGCTAAAAGCAATCTTAACTCAGACACAAACAACTCTCCAGCAGGCATAAAAATCCTTCCAGCGGCGCAATATAATTCTTCAGTGGGCATGAAAAATTATCAAAGACACAAACATTGTTACAAAAGGCACAAACAATGCTACAGAAACCACAAACAATTCCACCGAAGGCACAAACAATGCACCAAAAGGCACAAACAATGCTTCAGAAGGCACAAACAATCCCACAGAAGGAGCAAACAATGCTACAAAAGGCACAAACAATGCTACAGAAGGCACAAATAATGCTACAGAAGGCACAATGATACAGAAGGCAAAAACAATGCTACAGAAGGCACATGCAATGCTACAGAAGGCACAATGATACAGAAGGTACAATCAATGTTACAGAAGGCAAAACAATGCTACAGAAAGCACAATGTTACAGAAGGCACAAACAATGCTACAGAAGGGGCAATCAATGTTACAGAAGGCACAAACAATGCTACAGAAGGGGCAATCAATGTTACAGAAGGCACAAACAATGCTACAGAAGGCATAATGCTACAGAAGGCACAAACAAAGCTACAGAAAGCACAAACAATGCTGCAGAAAGCACAAACAATGCTACAGAAGGTACAATGATACAGAAGGCACAAACAAGGCTACAGAAGGCACATGCAATGCTACAGAAGGCAAAAAAAATGCTACAGAAAGTACAAACAATGTTACAGAAGGCACAAACAATGCTACAGAAGGGGCAGTCAATGTTACAGAAGGCACAAACAATGCTACAGAAGGGGCAATCAATGTTACAGAAGGCACAAACAATGCTACAGAAGGCACAATGATACAGAAGGAAACAAACAATGCTACAGAAGGCACATGCAATGCTACAGAAGGCAAAACAATGCTACAGAAAGTACAAAACAATGTTACAGAAGGCACAAACAATGCTACAGAAGGTACAATCAATGTTACAGAAGGCATAATGTACAGAAAGCACAAACAATGCTGCAGGAAAGCACAAAACAATACTACATAAGGCACAAACAATGCTGCAGAAATACAAATAATGCTACAGAAGGCACGATGCTACAGAAGGCACAAACAAAGTTACAGAAAGCACAAACAATGCTGCAGAAAGCACAAAACAATGCTACAGAAGGCACAAACAATGCTACAGAAAGCACAAATAATGTTACAGAAGGCACAAACAATGCTACAGAAGGCACAATGCTACAGAAAGCACAATGCTACCGAAGGCACAAACAATGCCACAGAAGGCACATACAATGCTACACAAGGCAAAAACAACGCTACATAAGGCACATACAATGCTGCAGAAGGCACATTGTATGTGCCTTATGCTACAGATGTCACAAACAATGCTACAAGGGGCACAAACAATGCTACAGAAGGCTAAAACAATGTTAAGAAGGCACATACAATGTACAGATGACACAATGCTACAAAAAGGCACACACAATGCTACAGAAGGAACAAACAATGCTACAGAGGGCACAATGCTATTAATCTCAGACAACCTCCACTACTCTCAGACAATTCTCCAGTACTCTCAGACAACCTCCGTACTATCAGACAACCTCCAGAACCCTCAAACAACCTCCAACACTCTCAAACAAGCCTCCACTACTTACAAAACAACCCAACATTCCTTTCAAACAACCCTCCATACTCTCAAACAACCCTCTACTACTCTCAGACAATCCTCCGCTACTCTCAAACAACACTCCACTACTCTCAGACAACCCTCCACTACTCTCAGACAACCCTCCACTACTCTCAAACAACCCTCCAACACTCTCAAACAAGCCTCCATTACTTTCAAACAACCCCCACTACTCTCAAACAACCCTCCATACTCTCAAACAACCCTCCACTACTCTCAAACAACCCCCACTACTTTCAAACAACCTCCACTACTCTCAACAATTCTTACTACTCTCAGACAACACTCCACTACTCTCAAACAACCCTCCAGTGCTCTTAGGCAAACCTCAGTACTCTCAAACAACCCTCCAGACCATCAAACAAACTCTTCACTACTCTCAAACAACCTTCCACTACTCTCAGACAACTCTCCACACTCAGACAACCCTCCACTACTTTCAAACGACCTCATCCTCTCAAACAACCCTCCACTACTCTCAAACAACCCCCACTGCTTTGAAACAACCTCCACTACTCTCAAACAACTCTCTACTAATCTCAGACAACCCTCCACTACTCTCAAACAACCCTCCAGTACCCTCAAACACCCCTCCACTACTCTCAAACAACCCTCCAGTACTCTCAAACAACCCCCCACTAGTCTCAGATAACCCTCCACTTCTCTCAAACAACCCTCCACTACTCTTAATCAACCCTCCACTACTCTCAAACAACCCTCCACTACTCTCAAACCCTCCTCTACTCTGAAACAACCCTCCATTACTCTGAAACAACCCCCCACTACTCTCAAACAACCCTCTACTACTCTCAGACAACCCTCCACTACTGTCAAACAACCCTTCAGTACTCTCAAACAACCCTCCAGTACTCTCAGATAATTCTCCAGTACTCTCAGACAACCATCCAATACTCTCAGATAACCCTCCAGTACTCTCAAACAACCCTCCAGTACCCTCGAACAACCCTCCAACACTCTCAAACAAGCCTGCACTACTTACAAAACAACCCTACATTACTTTCAAACAACCCTCCACTACTCTCAAACAACCCTCTACTACTCTCAGACAATCCTCCACTACTCTCAAACAACGCTCCACTACTCTCAGACAACCCTCCACTACTCTCAAGCAACCCTCCAACACTCTCAAACAACCCTCCACTACTTTCAAAAACCATCCACTACTCTCAAACAACCCTCCAGTACTCTCAAACAACCCCCCACTAGTCTCAGATAACCCTCCACTTCTCTCAAACAACCCTCCACTACTCTTAAACAACCCCACTACTCTCAAACAACCCCTCCACTACTCTAAAACCCCTCCTCTACTCTGAAACAACCCTCCATTACTCTGAAACAACCCCCCACTACTCTCAAACAACCCTTACTACTCTCAGACAACCCTCCACTACTGTCAAAACCTTCAGTACTCTCAAACAACCCTCCAGTACTCTCAGATAATTCTCCAGTATCTTCAGACAACCATCCAATACTCTCAGATAACCCTCCAGTACTCTCAAACAACCCTCCAGTACCCTCGAACAACCCTCCAACACTCTCAAACAACCCTGAAACTACTTAAAAAACAACCCTACATTACTTTCAAACAACCCTCCACTACTCTCAAACAACCCTTACTACTCTCAGACAATCCTCCATACTCTCAAACAACGCTCCACTACTCTCAGACAACCTCCACTACTCTCAAGCAACCCTCCAACACTCTCAAACAACCCTCCACTACTTTCAAACAACCCTCCACTACTCTCAACAACCCTCCACTACTCTCAAACAACCCCCCACTACTTTCAAACAAACCCTCCACTACTTTTCAGACAACACTCTATACTCTCAGACAACCCTCATACTCTCAAACAACCTCCATTACTCTCAGACAACCCTTCAGTACTCCAAACAACCCTCCAGTACCCTCAAACAACCTCCACTACTCTCAAACAACCCTCCAGTACTCTCAAACAACCCCTTACTACTCTCAGATAACCCTCCACTACTCACAAACAACCGTCCACTACTCTCAAACAACTCTCCACTACTCTCAAACTACTCCTACTACTCTCAGATAACCCTCCACTACTCTCAAACAACCCTACACTACTCTCAAACAACCCTCCATTACTTTCAAGCAACTCTTCACTACTCTCAAACAACCTTCCACTACTCTCAGACAACTCTCTACACTCAGACAACTCTCTACACTCAGACAACCCTCCACTACTCTCAAACAACCTCCAACACTCAAATAAGCCTCCACTACTTTCAAACAACCCTCCACTACTCTACAAACAACCTCCACTACTATCAAACAACCCCCACTACTGTCAAACAACCCTCCACTACTCTCAAACAAACTCTCTATACTCTCAGACAGCCCTTCACTACTCTCAAACAACCCTCTAGTACTCTCAGACAACCCTTCAGTACTGTCAAACACCCCTCCACTACTCTCAAAACAACCCCCACTGCTTTCAAACAACCCTCCACCACTCTCAAACAACTCTCTACTACTCTCAGACAACCCTCCACTACTTTCAGACGACCCTCCTCTACTCTCAAACAACCCTCCACTACTCTCAAAAAAAACCCCACTGCTTTGAAACAACCCTCCACTACTTTCAAACAACTCTCTACTAATCTCAGACAACCCTCCACTACTCTCAAACAACCCTCTAGTACTCTCAGACAACCCTCCAGTATCTCAAACAACCCTCCAGTACCCTTAAACACCCCCCCACTACTCTCAAACAACCCCCCCCCCAGAAACTCTCAAAAAAACCCCCCCAAATATTTCCCCGAAAAACCCTCCCCCTACTCTCAAAAAAACCCCTCCACTATCTAAAACCCTCCACTCCCCCAAAAACTCCCCCCACTACTCTCATAATCCTTCCCTCCCCCCAACCCTCCACTACCCCTTCAAACCCCCCATACTCTAAAAAAACCCCCCATTATTGAAAAAAACCCCCCACTACTCTCAAAAACCCTTACTCCCTTTTCAGAAAACCCCTTCCACTACTGTCAAAAAACCCCTTCAGTACTCTAAAACAACCCCCCGTACTCTCGGGGACAATTCTCCGGGTCCCTCAGAAAAACCCCTCCAGTCCCTCTCAGAAACCCCCAGTATTCTCAAAAACCCCCCATTTACACTTAACTTCATGGGGGGAAGTTCGATACGGGAAATTGGGGAAAAAAATTACTCCCTTTAGGCTGTTATTTATTATAATTGCGGTTATGTGGGGGGGCCCCCCTGCCAGGCCGTCCTATTCCTTGGCTAAAACTCGTAAAAACGAAAAGCCGATGATTTACCCTAGTGGGGGGGCTTTAAATACCTGAGGCCCAGCAAAATTTAAAAAAGACCTTTGATCCGGGCCAGAGGGGTTTGATCGTTGAGTCAGGGGACGGTTATGGTAATGGTTACTATTCTGTGACTGGCTTAAACGGGTTTATACTATGAAAACTGGAAAAGGGTTTACTATACTAAGAGCCCCGGCGACGCTAACGTTTTGTCTTTTCCCGGACTACAACAAATTTCCAAAAAAAGAGATGGCGGGTCGGGTTGGGGCTGTTTCCCTTACAATTTTAAAAGGGTTACACAACAGAAAAATTTTTATATAAAAAAGAACAATGGGATGAAAAGCTTACGAAACTAAAAAGGTAAGGGCAATAAAAGGGGTTACTATTTTACAATTTTAAAAACCCAACAAATAAACCCAACGAACTAAATTTTTTGAGATTACAAGTGATAAAAAAATTTTTTGATCGATCGATTGTTTTTTGTGATTAGGGGGATTTCTGGGGAAGGAATTTTATATAAAAAAAGAAAGAGTTTTAACAAAAAAGGCAGATTGGGTTTGCACGAAAATTTTGACTGTTAACTCTCGGGAAATGGGATTTGGGGAAAAATGAAACAAAAAAAAAAATTCTTGTTTATAAATAAGGGGATTAGAAATTTTTTCATCTATACAAGGTTATTTTTAAAATTTTAACCCCAACTCTGTTGGGTAAATTTGGCAAAAGGGAAAAGGGAATGGGTTTTTTTCCATCTTTTGGGAGGATCAAACTCTTTTAGCATTGGCAACTATGCTGTATTTGAGGAAAAAATCTGAATTGGGTTTAAATGTTTTCTTGGGGGATTTCTCAAACCTGTTTTGGACGTAGGGAAAAAAACAATTCGGGTTTGTGGGTTCTGATGAGTATCGGGAGGAAGGAGTACAGGACCCGGAGGTTTGGGTCAGAGTCTGTCAAAATTTGTGGGGGTTTGGGAAAACACCCTTTATCGTCACTA